ACCCCCCCGTCCCCCCAAACCTGCTGGATGTAGCGGTCAGTGGTTTTCCACATGTAGTAGAACTGGACAATGCTGGCCAGAGACTTCCAGGGCAGCTGCAGGCAGCAAACCCTGACTTTAGGGGGCATCCCTGAACCCCCCCCAGGACACCCCCAAAGGGGCACCCCCAAAATCGCCCCGCTAATGTCAAAACAGCTCTCCCCAAAATTTGGGGGCACCCCATTGCGACCCCCCCAAAAAAAACCCCAAAATTCCTGAGCTCTCAAAGCAGGAGCAGCACCAAGCAGGAATCTACCCCCTACCCCTCTGCAAAGCCCCCCCAAAACCCCCCAAAAACCCCCCCAAACCCCCCCTCAGTATCACTGCTGTCACCCAGGCTGTTCGGGCTGCCCCCCAAGCCCCCCGAGGGGCTCCCCCCACTCACGAAATCCTGCCGGATGTCGTTGAAGTCCTTGCCGTATTTCTCCAGGGCCTCCTCGAACAGCATGGCCTCGGACGCCGACCACTCCTCCATCTCATCCCGGCACAGCACCGGCCCCCCCTGCGGCACCAGCGTGGCCATGGCCCGGGCCAGGTCGTAGCCATTCCTCTGCAGCGTGTCCATGGCGTGGAACTGGGGACAACGGGGGATACTGGGAGGCACTGGGAGCAGCTGGGAGTGGTCTAATGGGGGGTTTGGGGCAGGTTTGGGGGGCTTTGGGGTCTCTAAGGGGGATTTGGGGTATCCCAGAGAAGCACTGGAGACATTTATGGGGAGTACGAGAAATCACGGGCAGGTTCAAAGCAGGTTTTGGGGTGTCCCGGTGTGGAATGCGGGGTTCCAGGGCAGTTTTGGGGTGTCTCAGTGTGGAATGGGGGGGTTCCAGGGCAGTTTTGGGGTGTCTCGGTGTGGAACTGGGGGGTTCCAAGGCAGTTTTGGGGTGTCTCGGTGTGAAATGCGGGGTTCCAGGGCAGTTTTGGGGTGTCCCGGTGTGGAATGCAGGGTTCCAGGGCAGTTTTGGGGTGTCCCGGTGTGGAATTGGGGGGTTCCAGGGCAGTTTTGGGGTGTCCCGGTGTGAAATGCGGGGTTCCAGGGCAGTTTTGGGGTGTCTCAGTGTGGAATGGGGGGGTTCCAGGGCAGTTTTGGGGTGTCTCGGTGTGGAATGCGGGGTTCCAAGGCAGTTTTGGGGTGTCTCAGTGTGGAATTGGGGGGGTTCCAGGGCAGTTTTGGGGTGTCTCGGTGTGGAATTGGGGGGTTCCAGGGCAGTTTTGGGGTGTCCCGGTGTGAAATGCGGGGTTCCAGAGCAGTTTTGGGGTGTTTCGGTGTGAAATGCGGGGTTCCAGGGCAGTTTTGGGGTGTTTCGGTGTGGAATTGGGGGGTTCCAGGGCAGTTTTGGGGTGCTCGGGCCCCCCCTCACCAGGGTGATGTCTCTGGAGGCGGCGGCCGCGCTCATGTGCAGGCTGGGCTGGCGAATGGAGCTGCTGCAGTCCAGAGCCCGGGCAAACGTCCCCACAGCCCTGGAGGTGAGGGGAGGGACACGGGGGGCTCAGAGGGGTCCCCCCAAATCCCCCTGAGCCCTCCCCAGCTCCCCCAGCTCGCCCCTCACCGAGCCACCACCAGGAACTGGTCGATCTGCCGGTCTGTCAGGGGGTTGTCGGGGTCCCACACCTTCATCTCCATCTTCTGCTGGTTCCTGTTGTCAGACTCACCTGGGGGGAATTTGGGGGGGCTCTCAGGGTGAACCCCCACACCCTGCACCCCCCCCGAGCCCCCCCCAGAGCCCCCCAAACCTTCAGCCAGGCGCTCAGGGATCTCGGCCTGGTACTTGCAGCCCACCCTGATCTCGCCCTGATCCGCCAGCAGCGTTTTCTGCACGGGGTCGAACACCAGCGAGTAGAAGAAACAATCCTGGGGGGAAGGGGCACATCGGGGGGGCTCAGAGGGGTGGGGACACCCCAAAAATCACTCTAGACCCCCCAAAATCCCCTCGCAGACCCGCCAAGTTCCCCCCAGAGCTCACCTCCTTCTCCAGGTACTGCCCCAGGATGTCGGTCTCGTTCAGCAGCGTCACGCTGCACTTCCCCCTGCAGGTAAAAATTGAGGAGGGGGTGACCCCAAAACCCCTCCCGACGCACGGGGAGCTCCCCCAGACCCTTTTTCCCACCCCCCAGAGGGTTCTGTGCCCCCCATACCGGATGTGGGTGGCCGGGAGGGACTCGAACTGGCGGGACAGGAACAGCTCCCGGTGCTTGAGCTGGTGCCGCTGCTGCTCCGTCATCGGCGGCTGCTTCGACTCCTCCTCGAACTCCCCTGCGGGACAATTTTGGGGAGGGGTCACATCGGGGTGTCCCCCCCCTTCCCGCTCCCACCAAAAAAAAAAAAAAAAAAAAAAATCCAGCCGGGAGAGCCATTGTTCTCCAAAAAATTCCCTCCGGGATTTTGGCAGCGGCCCCGAGGAAGGGGGAGGGGAGCGAGGGGAGGGAGGGGCCAGGGGAGGGCGGGACCCCCCCCAATTTTGGTGGGGGGGAGGGTTTGGGGTTCGGTTCTTTG